ATTGAAAATGTTACTAGTAAAAGTTCTGAAGTTTTTAGGATCAGAGGAGGATCAAGGAAGCTAAAGCTTTGTTGAACACGAATATGAAATATCAAACTACATTATTTTTGTAAAAAAAAAAGTTGATACTTTTGCGAAACCCAATATACTAGAATATACTAAGTAAATTGACCAATCAGCGTGAATTTCGCAATAATCACATGAATTTGGATTTGGAGCCAGATCCGCCCATATGTTGATTGGCCACAGTTAGCAACGTGCTAGATATAAGTTTATCAATTTTTGAGATTGTGTAAAGAAAAAAAAAATGACTTCTCCTCGTGATCAACTACTTATAACATTATCTGAAGCGGCTTCGCAACAGCCTGAACAAATAAAGGTAGCCGAGGAGCGACTTAAGCAATGGGAGATAGCGCCAGAGTTTTATTCCACTCTGTTGGTGAGTCTCGAGGAAATTTAATTGAGACATGTTTTATTTTTATTTTTTATACATTGAGACTCGAAAAAAAACTAGGTATAAATATTCTCTTGTTAATTTGTTTCTCATTAGTATATAGATATAATCAGATGTTTTCTTGTTAATCTTTTTATTAATAATAAAAAAAATGGTTCTAATTTTTTTGAAAAAATATCTCATAATAATACTTGTTTGCATATTTTTTTTTGTACATGATTGTATAGAATATAATTAATTAATAATAAACATGCAGTCTCTGAAATTTGAAAATAAGGCCATCTTAAAATATCATCTAATTAATTATATATTATTTGTCAAAGATGAAAAAAATATTTGCCCGGTTTATTTAATTTTATTTATTTTATTGATTTGCAATGTTTTTTTTTTTGTAATTATTAGGATATTATCTTTGACAGATCAATTGATGTTAATATCAGGTTTCTTGGAGCAATATTTTTCAAGAATGGTGTGGATCGATATTGGCGTAAAACTTCGAAAAAGTAAATTTTCATGTCGATGTATAATATATTCTAAATAAATTTTGAAGCTTAAAGAAATGTGCAACTTTGATAATAATAGCGCCGTCAATCCCAATGAAAAGGCCAAGATAAGAAATAGACTTTTATCTTTTATGGACGAAGCGCATAATCAAGTTAGTAACGGTCATAATATATTTTAAAAAATGTCAAAAAAAAAAAACAATAATGGAGCAATTTTTTTTTTAAATTGATATCTTAGCTGGCAACACAGTGTGCTGTGATGGTATCAAAAATTGCACGGCTAGAGTATCCCAATGAATGGTATGTATTATCATTATTATCTCGTTGTTATAATTCAATATTAATGCTTTTATATATTTAGGCCAGAATTGCTTCAAAATTTATTATCAATTATTCATTCGACAATAACCACCATTTCAGACTCTCGGACGATCTTAATACAAAAAAGATCATTAGTTACTTTGCATTTAGTTGTCAAAGCTTTGTGCTCTAAAACAATGGGACCAGATCGAAGAATGTTACAAGAGGTTTTTGTTATCGTATTCTTTTGTATGTGGTAATTGTCTTTGATTTTTTGTAATAATTTCGTTTTATAAAAGAAAGAT